AGGGAAATTGCCCACCTGCTTGGACCCACAAATTGTGCATGTCATTTCAGGAGATTTAAGAACCTCCTTGGGGTAATTCATGGACCTCCAGAGTATAAGTGTCTGGGTAAGAATCCTTGTTCTAAAGGTATACCCCAAAATTTCACCACTGGGATGAACAGTGTAACTCCTGAACCCTAGAGTTGAGGATCACAGCCAAATTCTGAATGTATTTATTCAACAAATGTTTCCTGAGTGCCTACCATGTGCTGGGCTCTGTCCTAAGCTTTTTAGATATGCTGGCTTATTTAATCCTTACAACTGCCCTTGAGGTAGGTTCTATTAATAATTCCCCTCTAACAGATGACACCGATGAAGCACTGAACTTTAGGCAACTTTCCAGAGGTCACATAATGGAATTTCTCTTGTCCAGCTCCAGAGACATTTCACTGCTACTCCACAGTGCCCCCTCACAAGGCTGGTGTCTGTTCTTTCAGAGAGTCAGGTTTGTCCTGAAAGCATTTCTCTTAAACTGCATATAGGAGATGGCCTCACATCCATGTACCAGCTTAGACTCTAAACTGAGAAAAAAGTTTGGCGGGAGCACTGCTACACACCCTCATGTCCAAGTTTTGTTTCCTTGGCATCACCATGTACACTTTTGGTTAGGACACTTAGGGGAATAAAGGAAGATTTCAGTACAAGAGAGAGATGTATGAATTTGCTGGGGCTGCCAAAACAAAGTCCCATGAACTGAGGGGCTTATACAACAGACACGCATTGTCTCCCAGTTCTAGAAGCTAAAAGTGCAAATTCAAGGTGTGGACAGGGTTGGTTCTTTCTGAGGCTGTGAGGGAAGGATCTAGTCCATGCTTCTTTCTTGGCTTAAAGATGATCCTCTCCCTCTGTCTTCTTATTGTCTTCCCTCTACTCATGCCTGCATCCAAATTTCTTTCTTTTATATAGGACACCAGTCAGACTGGATCAGGCTCATCTTAATGATGTTATAATTTGGTAAAGAACTTACCTCCAAATATAGTCACATTCTGAGGTCAGGGGTGTTTGGACTCCAACATGTCTTTTAAGGGAACACAATTAAAGCCATAAGAAGGGACAATGGTCAGTGAAAAAAAGAGCCACAGAATGCTGGGATTTTTTCAATAAGTTAATAAATTTTTAACTCATCTACAAAACAGAAACAGACCTTCAGACATAGTAAACAATATTATGGTAACCAGGGGGAAAAGGGGTGAGTAGGGATAAATTTGGGAGTTCAAGATTTGTAAATATTAACCACTACATATAAAAATATTTTTAAAAAATTCTTCTGTATAGCGCAAGGAACTATTTTCAATATCTTGTAGTAACCTTTAATGAAAAAGAATATGAAAATGAATGCGTATGTATATGTATGACTGAAACATTTTGCTGTACACCAGAAATTTACACATTGTAACTGACTATATTTCAAAAAATAAAAAATAAATTCTTGCTACAGGATCAACAAAGTTAGGAAATGATTGTGAACAGTGCATTTTACCAGGCACAAAGCATGGCTATGGATAAATCAAAGGCACATCTGTGCCCTTCCCTTGAGAAATGTTCCATGTAGTTGGGGAATCTCAATAAGGCCACATAGCAGGTAAACAATTTTCCCTGTGAGAACTCAGAAATGCAAACATGTCATTTTATTCTCTTTTAATTAAACTTAATCGAGCCTCCAACCAGACAAGCTAGATTCCATCAATGTCCGCACCTGGTAGCTTTTCTGAGGGGTCCACAGCCCTGCCAGGTCTCTCTACACTGTGACAACCTTTCCATCACACTCCAAGGCTATTTGGGACTATAGCCCTCTCAGGGCACCCGAGAAGATCCAACTTGAACCACTGTTGGAGTCCAGATGATTCAGTGCCTGGGAGCCTCTCTGTCCGGCCCTCTGCCTAGTGGCAGGGGACATATCTGCAAAGCTGCTGTCTCAGAATTTCAGCTGGGAAACAGCAGACAAGTCCTCTCTATTGCCAAACAAAGGTTTTCTGGAAAGAGGGAGCTGTCTGGGGGAGTTCCATAAGAAGAGAATACAGATTTGGGGGAAAGATGGGAGTAATAGTTCAATAGCTGCAATGGCAGAGGCCTAAGTACATGTATAGAAATTAACTCTATACCAAGAAATTCACTCTATACACATATAGGTACTTATTAAGAACAGCCCAAGTTAAGGAGGAAACTGAAGTTCAAAACGATTAAACCATGTCCCCAAGGCCATAGGTGCTCAGTAGAAGAGTTGGGATCTGAACCAGGTATGACTGAGTCTAAAAGCCAGCAAGATAATGGCATAAGGAAGATGGTACTGCAGACCATCTCTGGGAAAGACAGGACAGAGAAAGCAGCTAGAAGTATGTTACAGCATTCCAATTTTGGACTGAGGTGGTGGTTTCAGAAGTGAAAAAGGAGGGGGTGGATCAGAGTGACTACTGTGGGGAAATCTCGGTGACATAATAGATGTTTAGGGCAAAGACATGAAAGGAAATGAAACTGACAAGTCCCTAAACTGCGGCAATCAGAAAGAAAAAAAAAAAGGAAAGGCTTAGAAGGCTGAGGCCCAGCAGGGAAAAGCAAAAGAGGCTACCAGATACGTCAAGTTCTAATGGTGATGTTTTTAGAATTGGGCTCAGAGCCCCTGGAAGAGTTTTGAGCACTGCAGATAGAGATTTGGGTCACTAAATATGACCCATATGTCACAGCTTGGCACATCAGGATGGTGTCATTGCTTCACAGTTGTAATCAGTGAAGATTGATCATTTTTGCTACAAGTAAAGATACCCAATATTCCAGCAACTTCAAGAATATAGAATGTTGAGCTGAGCAGGTCATGAGACATGGAGTGGAGGAGGGAGCCACTTGCTATAAGACACTTAGGACAAAGGCTATGGAGGGCTCAAAAGAGACTACCTCCTGGCTGGTGGGGGAACTTAGTTTTGTAAGGGTGAGCCATTGGGGAGCAAGCAGTTCTGGGCAAACCAAAGAATGATTAAGTCTGTAGTGGGATGACTACTGACTGTGTTCTACTGGAATGTGACTGAGTTGTCATCATGGGTAATGTGTTGTTTTGAGTGTATTCTCCCTTCGGGTGTGCGTCCAAAACTCGTAGTATTTGAAAGTGTGACAAGAACAAGAATTTAAAATCTGATAGAGGGTGAAAGGACTTCAAAAGAACCCCCTACGGCAGTCAGCATGCATTTCTGCCCTTCCATGCCCTGCCAACATCATGGGTCCAGCAGCTCTTTCAAGTCTAAAAGGACAGGAACTGAGCTTCCTCCTTTCTTTTAACAGCTTCCTTAGGTTGATTCTATTCATTTCAAGCCCGAGTATGGCTACCAATGAAGCCAGCTGTTCCTAGCAGTTGGAACACTTGAGAGCAAAGAGAAGACTAATCTCCAGAAAGTTATTTCAAGGAAACTTAGTATGTCCCTGAGTCACTAGGGAGGCCCACAAGGCCCTACAGGAACTGACTCTTCCCTTCCCATCCCACTCACCTTCGCTCTCCTAAAGCCCCTATTCCCATCATCCCCCTGGGCCTATCCACAGCATCCTCATGGGAACTGACCACAGCTCCCTCTCCATCCATATCCTAGACTTTATTTCATTTAGAACATTAAACATAAGGAAATAAGAATGTATCCAGGTGACAGTTAACAGTAAAATTGGAAGTAGGGCCCAGTTTTTTCACTCCTTTCCAATATTGTATGTCTTTTATCAGATCATATGCTTCATTAAAAAAAAACAGCAATATGACAAAGGTCAAAGCCTCACAGGAGATGCTGTCAACTTGACTTTGGGGACAGTAACCATAAAAGCTTCATGGACCCACATTTAACAAAAATGTTGTGATAACCATACCAAAGCAATAGGTGAGAACAAATATTTCGCAAATGTCTCCTTAGACGCTGTAAATCCAGGCCCTTTTGGTTGCATTTTCATTAGCCCCCTAGTGATTCTGAGTTAAGCACAGCTCTTCTCCCTGTTTCACAGACAAGGAAGCTGAGGCACCCAGAGAAGTGGCTTTCCCCAAACTACACAGCCAGGGAGTGATGGAGCCCACATGAGAACCCAGGTCTGAGTCTACTCTGGGCTCTTCCCACATACTTCAGTGTTTCTCAATGAGCAGTCCCTCTGCAGAAGACTTGTCTGGGGGGTCCCCAAATCCTCCAGGATGCCAGTGTCCAGAAATGAGGCCCAAGCTCACACCTCTTTAAGGTGCATGCCATACAGTGCTGCTAGTTGGCATCCAGGACACCTAGGTAAAGTTGAATTTCAGATCAACAATGAATAAACAACAAAATGCCCAAAAGGGATACACTTGTACTGAAAAATACTGATCTGAAATTCAAATTGACCTAGGAGTTCCTTTTTATCACCTCAATCAGGCAACTCTATCCCAGGATTAGGATGCCGCCCAGAAGTTTTAAACCCACTCTCCCTCTCCACGTGCGGGTGCATGTCGGTCATTTTTCATTCCCCCTTCCTGCTTCTTTCTCCCCACCCTCAGCCTGAGGCAGAGATTTGAATGCCATCTGCCAGGATTTCTCTTATAGGTCATCCCATACAGGGCCAGGAGGGGGCTGGACACAATCACTCAGCCCAAGCCAAACCGAGATTCTGAGACACCATCTAGCAAATAAAATGACCAGAGGTTGGCTGAATTCAACCTACTGGCTTTCCCCTATTTGTCCCAAGAACAAATTACCAATAAGACTCTTTCTCAGCAATATATTTTGCCAAAACTATTTTTAGGGCATCATTTAGGCATAGGCCAAATGGTTGACTAGTTTTATAAACTGATGAGTTCCAAAGGCCAAACAGCAACAACAACAAAACAATTCACATCCATAGGAAAGGATTACTTTGTTTTCTGTCCACTGGCTGGCAAAGAATTTGGGATCCACCAGACTGCCTTTGACAAAATGGTTTAGAAGTTGGACTTACAGTCAAGGCTAAAGAACTCATCGTCAGAGAACCAGAGCTCATAAGAAGAAAAACTTTATTTTAAGACAAAACAAATAGCACACACACACGCATCCAAATGCAAGTGAGAGAGTTCACTGGGTTTTACAAAAGAGATAGCTGCACTCAGGTGTCAGTTAAAGTTGGAACCATCAAAGAAATGTCCCCTGCTTGTGGCGACATGGGTACAACATGTGCTTGTTAAGAAGTTGTTCTGCAGTAGCATAAATGTGGGAATGCATGATAAAAGTTAAGTGATTCGAGGCAGAACGGCAGGTGGGCAAGAGCTTGAAGACCTTTTTCTCTGCACTAGTGTGGTCTCGTTCTGCCTTGGGGAATTAAAGTAATCAGCAGGTAACCTTACAAAGAATTCTAATGTTAAAGAACACTTTCAAACATCTAAAATAGATTCGAAGTTGGTACTAAAGTTATACAGAGAGGTCAGTTGGGGGGAAATAATTTATGGTCTGAAAAACCAGGTTTCACACAAATGGCAGGCACTAAGTCTAGTTCCATGTGCTTGCGGTAGAAAAGAAGACACTGATCTTAATAAAGACTGGTCTTTTTCATGATGCGCAGGAACTCTTGCTCATTGACCTCTCCGTCTCCATCTCGATCAGCTTCATCAATCATTTCCTGCATGACAGTAAGGATTCAGGTTAAGGTAATTCACAGATGAAATTAAAATGGGTGGGACTAAGTAACAGGCTTTATGATGCTACATGAATAGACAAGTATATTCCACCCAATGCAGATGTGCTGCTTTTTAAAATAGCTTGGTTCCTGAAAAGTAATTTAAAAACCAAGTCATACTTTGCCACACATATCACCTAGAAGGGAGCTCAAAGATCATCTAGACTAAGGAGATTCCAAAAACCTAAAATAGTAAGTAAAATTGTCCATGTGTGTAGTTTTCTGGGAGCAGCATCCATTGGTTTGTCACACTATCAAAAGAGAAATTATCAGAGGGACAAGAGAACACTAGTTTCCCTTTAAAGCATCAGAGAACATGTAACTCAGAAAAGTCATACAGGAGGGCTCCAGGCTGACACATCACACACCTGCAGCTCCTCATCAGTGAGGTTCTCGCCCAACTCCTTGGCCACACGTTTTAGATTTTTGAATGATATCTTCCCAGTTTCATCATCATCAAAGAGTTTGAAAGCTTTCAGGATTTCTTCTTTGGTATCTTTCTCAGACTTAACAAATAGAACATAAAACACATGAGTACTACAGCCCCACCCCACCCAGCCCCTCTGCCCTGCCCTGACATCACCACATGGTCTTAGTGACAGCCTTTTGACATAGTGCTAGGTCACAGCAGATCAGACATCAACCAGGGTAGAAAAGGAGGGCAAACAATGAAATTATTACAAACTCAGAGACTAAAAAGGAAATACAGAAGATTTCACTTAAAACACTTTCTGTACAAACCAAAGAGAAAGTAGATTTATTTTTAAAATATAGGAGCAGACCTGTGCCCTGGGAGGCACACCTGAAACACTGATGGAGTTACTTTTCCATAGGCCAGTAGAACATAGATGAGCCATGCTAAGCAGCAGCCAGGAGGCCAATCAAAAAGAAACAGACCACTGGGACATCTTTCCTGGGTGGGATGACATTCAGGGGACTGAGGAAGACTCGCAAAGTGTTATCTCTCTTGACCATTTGGGCCCTTTAAAAGGGTGACACCTGAGAGACTATAGAGAATGGGTGAACTCAACCTTGGAAGTGTTGAAAGACCAAACCTTTAGTGCAGGGAAAGACACAGCTGCTGAAGTAACCAACCCTCAGGCTGAGGCTGCCCAAAATAACAAATGGGAGAGAAAAGAAATTCCAACTTTAAAGTAGAGGGACTTTGTCTTGTCAAAATGTGAGACTGTACCATTGTTGGTGTTTATAGCTTTTACTGCTTGTGGTTATCACATTGATATACTGGTTGGAGAAAGATAATAGCAAACAATTGAGCACAGGAGTACTTTTATTACTTTTCAGAGGGTAAAATGTCTTTTCCTGTGACTTTGTGTCCATGAAGAAAGCCAAGTAGATCCTAAACATCCTAATTCTCAGTCACAAATACTCTCCTTTATTAGATGGACTCTCTGGTTTGTGTTAACTTTTCTTTAGTGAAGACGTAGTCACATCTAGATTCAAACTTGTCTACCATTATCTTTGGTGGAAAATATGCCAATCATCTTAGCTAACTTACCATTTTCTGAGTCATCACAGTCAAAAAGTCACTAAAGTTCATTTTTCCTGTCCCTTCCTTATCGATTTCACTTATCATTTTCTTGATCTCTTCTTTCTTGGGTTCAAAGCCCAGTGCCCTCATTGCCACCTACAATAAAAACAGGATCATCTCGATATGCACATCTAAACCCAGGAGCAAAAAAAATGACAGTGTTGAGAGCATTAAGCCAGCATCCAACATAATCATGTTAAAATGATCAGGAAACACTATAACATTAAGCAAATTGACATTTGCACTCAATTTTATTTAATAATATTTGATGTAAGTAAAGACAGGAAAACAAAGACAAAGAAGCAGAGGAAAGTCAGGGCAGTGAGCAGGAATGTACAGGGCTTGCCTTAAGTTCCTTAACATCTATTGTCCCAGTTCCATCAGCATCAAAGAGATCAAAAGCTTCTCGGATTTCCTGTTTCTGATCTTCAGTAAGCTCCGGTTTAGGGCTCGTCCTTTTTCGCTGGACAGTTGATGCCATGTTTGCCTTCTTAAAGTTAGAGGCCTTTACATATTTTACAAACACATAAGCACAATATTATGTAATAGAGTTCATATTTTACATAAAATAGTTACAATCATATGTTTTAAAAATGGTTTATACCAACCAATTCCAAAACAGTGTAACAAGAGAGATAAGAGGGTTTACTGGAAAGGGCAATGTATCTTTCTATGCACCTCTATCTGCCCCTCTTCTTTACTAATGCTTCCAGAAGAAAGGAAATTCCTTGTTCTTTTGGACATCTCTTACTGAAAACCGTCCCATAAGAAAGCTAGCCAAGGAGCTGACTGTGGACTCCTGAATTCGGAACTCTTAATTCTAAAAATGTCCTTAGAATGCTACCTCGCTTCTAAGTTCTCCGATTTTCTGATTACTGCTAGACATATGGTCGATTATTACTAAGTTATGATGTATATTCTGTCAATATCGAATAATGAAACTAAATCCCCTCGGTACATCTGAGGCTTCTCCAAGAAGCTCAAAGCGTTTTCCGATGTCCCTTTATTTAAAATTTTAAAGGCACATTAACAATCAAACATAATAACCGCCCCTCCCCCAGCTCTGTGCGGAAACTTTGGTAGAAGCGGCCAGGAGGCCAGAATCTGGGAGGGGTCGGGGCCTGCGGGGATCGCGAATCCTTTTTGCCCAGGGACAGTCAACGAAGGGGCCAGAGAAGGCCGAAGGGGCCCAAGGGGCGGGTAGGAGCCAGCTGTGAGTAAAGGGGAGACAGCGGCGAATCACAGGCCCAGCAGAGAGGCGGGCATCTCAACCCTACCCTTCCGGGAAAGCGCTCAGAGGAAGAGGGAGGGCGCCAAAGCCGAGAACCGCGCAGGAGAGGCGGCGGGGCCCTGCCAAGGCCTGGGAAGGGCTCAGCCTCTGGACGCGGGGCTCGAGAGCTCAAGAGGAAGGCACGCACTCACCATCGCAGCTGGACTCCGCTGCCCGTTGTTACGGCAACCGACGTACACACTGATTCGGCGCCGTTCCCACCGCCCCGCGCGCGCGGCCTCGCTCCCCATTGGCTGTCCGCTCTCTGACGCCCCCCATTGTTGCCCGCTCGCTGACCCTCCCCATTGGCAAAGGGCTGGGGTAGGTGGGGCTAACCCGACAGAGGCGCTTTGCGCGGCGGGGAGGCGGTGCGCTCGCGGCCGACACCTGGCCTCATTGGGCAGGATCACGCCGCGAGCCCCAATTGGCTGAGCTAGAACAGAACCTAGCCAATCCCCTTGGTGAAGGAGTCTCTGCAGATCCTCGGCTCACAGGGGCAGGGCGGAAGCCGTGTCTGGTGGCGGCTGGATCTCTGAGGGTGCTGGCTGCTGACGCCTTGAGGCCGGCCAGAGGGGCGCCTACAGACAGGTAAGGGTTGCGACCTCGTCCTTGGGGTTGGTGACAGGACTGGAAGTCAAGGGGTTGGGTGGGGCGATGCGGCTCGGGGACTTTCTGGTCTGGCCTAAGACTGAGTTAGGATCAGAGGGGCCAGAGAAGACCGTGACCTTGCGTGTTGAAGCAGAGACTAGTCACGGAGCAACTGAGACCCGGAGAAAGGAAGGGACATGCAAAGCATTGTCGCAGAGGCTCAGGCGGTTAAGACTTAGAAACCGAATCCAGGTGAGGCTCTTTGAGCCTGTGCCTTTGAGAGGACTCATCCCCGAACCAGATTTCAAAACAGGATCGCCTTAGTTCTCACCTGGCTAAACGGAGCCCAGAAAGGTGATCTGGAGGCCTGGGAACGGACTTTGACGGGAGCGAAGGAGAGATGAGTGAGCATGAGGAGGTCGGGTCATCAGAATTTACACTTTTTGACACGCAAACACTCAAGGCGGATCGGAAGGAGCATTCCAGGCGGAGACACCTCATGAGCAAAGTCACAGATGAGTTTTGAAAGTGTGAAGCCTGCTTGGAGAAGTACAAGTGGGCGTGTGAAAGGGTATGAGATGAAAAGGAGCTGCAGCAGAGAAGCTGGAGGTCCAGGGTCTGCCCTCCTCAGCCAGCCCAGTGTAAGAGCGCTTCTTGGCTTTCAGCCCTTACCTGTCCTCCCCTCTGAGCATTGGTGCAGAATTTAGGGAGCCGGGGGACAGAGCACAGGTTTCTCTGTGCTCTGAGAAAGCCTGAGGTTTATTGACATTAATTAAACGAAAGTGTTCACCAACCTTCTGCCCTTTACCCTCTTGCACTTTGAGTATGAACCAGGTCCAAAACCTTTCCATCATAATTTGGCTCTTTCTTTTCCTGCCCCCTCCCCAGTAACCAGCCTCTGAGTTCTATCAATTCTGTCCCTGAAATGGCCTTCAGCAGCACCCTCCCTCTGAGTACAAGCCAGAGTTCTCACCATGGTCTGCATAGCTCATGCTGACATACTTCCTCCTCTCCCCTGGCTCACTCCAGCCCCAGGACACTGGCTTCCTTGCTGGACTCAGATGCACAAACGCACTCCTGTCTTCAAACTTTTTTTCCTGCTGCCCCTCCCCCCTCACCTGCTTGCCCCGCTTCATTCCCTCCTCCAGGTCTTTGATCCACTAACACCATCTCAGTGAGCCACCATAATTACCCTACTTAGCACTGTAGCCCCCTGGACACCCAAACCTTGCTGTACTTTTTTCCCATAGCTTTGTTCACTGTTGGCACTCCAGTACCTGGCACAGTCAGTGGCACATATTAGGTCCTTAGTAAATCATAGTTGAACAACTGATGAGTGGTCCCGCTGTTTCCTGCTTCTCACCTATCTGGTCCACCCTGCTCTGCCAGGTTAATCTTCCCATTGAATGGCTCTGGTCAGGTCACCTCCATGCTCTTAAACCTTCAGAGATTTCCCATTTCTACAGAGCAAAGTCCAGACTCAGCCTGGCACCTGAGCCTCCTGCCCAGTTGTGCCCCTCCTAGTCCTTCTCACTGCCTGTCCTTGTACCCCCTACTTCCCAGTGAGTCTGCAGGGGAACAGCCTAGCAGTGTAAAAGGAACAACCACAAGCCCTGCCTTGGCCTTGTACCAGCAGTGTGACTTTAGGCGAGTCACTTGACCTCTCTGAGCCTCAGTTCTTGTCTGTTGAAAGAGACCAGTACTGTCTCCCAAACAGGATGCTTTTTGGATCTTAACGGTATCTGCAGGTTCCACATCCATGGAGTCAACCATCCATGAATCAAAAATATTTTTTAAAAAATAGAAAGCTTCAAATGAAAACCTCAAATTTGCTGCATAGGCAACTATTTACTTAACATTGACATAGTATTTACAACTAGTTACATAGCATTGACATCATATTAGGTATTATGAGTAAGCTGTAGATGATTTAAAGCATACAGGAGGATGTGCAAAGGTTATATGCAAGTACTAGGCCATTTTATATAAGGGACTTGAGTGTCCGTGGATTTTGGTATCTGCAGGGACTCCTGGAACCAGTGCCCCACAGATACTGAAGAACTGTTGTGCTCATTTGTAAAAAGGCCTGACATTTAGCAGGTTTTCCTCTGATTTGCTCTTGTCATTCCCCCTGCCTGGCATGTGAAGGGCCTTAGACTTAGCCAAAATCCCTTCTCACACTGCAGCCAGAGCGATCTTTCTGATCTTAACACTTGCCCCTACTTACAACTTCCAGAGCCTCCCCTATGTCCTCCTGGGGTAACTCCTTAGCCTGACAGCCCCTGCGTGTTCTCAGCTTCTCCCAATATTGCTTCACCTGCCTTCTGTCACAGCTTGTCCCAGAACATGCTGGCTCTGTGCCATCACCTCATCCTTCCCACCCCTGGCCATGGAACATCTTTTAGCACACCTACCCTGTCTGTTTGACTCACACCCCTAGAGCCTTAGAATTTGACTTGCTGATTGCCTCCCCGCCTGGGTTTCCCCTCCTCAGAACTCAAAGGCACTTCTGCAATTCTCTGCCTAGCCTGTCTCCCACACTGGATGCCAGGCTCTTGGAAGGTCAGCACTATGTCTCCCGCAGGTTCTGTCTGGCAGTGGCCGGCCTCCAGTGACTTGTGAATGAGAGAACATGTGAATGAGTGAGTAGACACCAGGGTGCTGCTCTTGTAACTTACTGCTCCTCTTTGACCCCTGGGGCTGGTTTCAGCCCTGCAGCAGCTCTGAGGTGGGCAGGAAGGATGGCTGCTCTCCAGATGAGGCCTCTTAGACCCACCGCAGCAGCACACAATTCAACTCATACTCCATTCCAGGCTCTCTGCTGGCCCTCCAGGGGCTCACAGCCTAGTGGGCCAAGACAGACGTGAGAGGGGAAAAAAGCATAAAGCTGTGTGCTTTGTTAGAATGGGAGCGGAAACAGGTGCTAAGGAAGTAGCTAAGCTTGCCTGAGAAGGGGGAGGAGGCTTCACAGAGGTAACAGCTGAGCTAGGCCTTGAACAAGGAAACAGCAGAAGCTAAAGCTCTCAGGTGCGCTGATGGCTTTGTCAGTGGCTGCCACAAATTCAAAGGCAGGGCCTTTCTGTGTCCTAAAAGTAAATAGATGAGGGAGAAAGGAATGACTGACAGAAACAAACAGCTCAGGTCCACGAAAGGACAAGACTAAGCTGATTGAGCCCTTTGGGGAAGACGAGGGGAGCCTTGAGTGCTGTTTACAGATGTCATCTCTCCACAGACTGGTGTGATGACCTTGCAGTGGGCACAGTTTAGCTTCCATGGAAGGCAGCAGGCTCGGCCCCGACTGCCCCTGCACACCCCTCTAAGCTGAAAAGAGCCTGGTCTCCCACGTTTGCAAAGGAGGGAACAATTGTCTCTCTCTCTCTCTCTCTCTTTCTCTGGTTTGAAATTAACAGACCATTCCATCCTTTGTCTCCAGGACTCAGCTCACTTTTCTCTTTATCCAGTCCTGTAAGCAGCCCTCTGCCCTCCCTTGCCCAGAAGTTGAGCAAGACACTTAGAAAGTGGGTCTCTTTTCCTAGATTCTTTTTAGCCTAAGACTTTGTCCCAAAAGGGCACAGAGGGCAAACACACTGGTTTTAATTCAGAGACCTACCATTTTAAAGGAAAAATACTTGGGGCTTCTGATGTCTTAACCATAACAATCCCAGCCCCTAGAACATTGCTCTTTGGGGTCTTATTTTCCCAATTACAGCTGTTCCTCTAAGCTTATGTGTGGTAAAATGGACAGGACTGAAAATTTACCATCCAAACCATTTCTGACTGTCCAGGTCAGTCGTGTTAAATACATTCATAGGGAACCATCATCACCATCCGTCTCCAGACCTCTTTTCATCTTGCAGAACTGAAACTATACCTACCAAACAGTCACTTCCCAATTCCCTGCTCCACACAGCCCCACCATTCCTACTTTCTCTCTCTATAAGTTTGACTACTCTAGGGGCCTCATGTAAGTAGAATCATATGCTATTTGTCCTTTTGTGGCTGGCTTCTTTTACTTGGTATGATGTCCCCAAGGTTCTTATTTCACTTAGCATAAGTTCATCCATGTTGTAGCATGTGTCACAATTTCTCCTTTTTTTTAATTTTTATTTTATTTTATTGTTTATTTTACTAAGATGAGATTTGCTGTCTTAACAAATGTTTAAGTGTACAGTAGATTGCTGATTATAAGTACAACGTACAGCAGATCTCTAGAGCTTACTCATCTTGCTGAACTGAAACTTTCTGCCTGTTGATCAGTAATTCCTCATTTCCTCCTTCCCCATCCCCTGGTAGCCACCATTCCACCCTTTGATTATATGTAGTCAGGGTGGCTTTCATTTCACCATGAAGGGGAGCTCTGTGTCCTCTTCCTTCTCCCAGCATCCCATGCTCTGGCTTTGCTGGGATGAGTCCTGAGTCTGTTTATTGATGGAGAGACTGAGCTGCAGCAGAGAGATGTGGCTTGAGGAGATTGATGAAAACTTGGCAGAGGCGGAGGTGGGGGTTGGCATCCACACAGAACACTAGTAGCTAAGAGA